AAGTCTCTACGTCGCCTTCGGCATTCATGTGTTTGGCCTGTCTTTGCGCCGGTTGTTCCCCCATTTTTTGTTTTTGAGGGCAGTTTTCCGTGCGTATTGTCCTTCACTACGTAACACTGTTTCATCGGTCCAAGCAACGCAAAACTGGGTCCTGAGAGTTGTTGAGCGGATTGGTGTTTCGCCCATTCTGGCCCGAAGCTTCCCGAATATTATGCATTGGTGCCAGCTGCTGGTGTAGCTGCTAGTGCTGAGTCCAGTTCGTGTGTTGCAGCTGTTTGTTTCTGCCGCAGCGTCGTGTACATGGGTGACACGTGGAGGGCGACGTTGGATCCGCGGGCGGTGTTTGCGTTATTCCTTCTCGTGGAATTCCGGTATCACCAGCTCAAGCTGCCGAAAGCCCCAAGGTTTGCGGCACACGACGGCAAAGGGGCTATCTTGGGTGCCCCCCGCAGGGGCGAAGCTGCCAGCAGCACCGCGCTTGGTGCGCCTTCTAAGAAGGCAGCAGCGCAGTTCAGGAAGATCTCTTCGCTCACCCCTCTCTGCACCGGCGTCAACTTGCGTGTTAAAGTTGTAGAGCCGATCAAACCTGCGGTACGCGCTCGGTATGAAGGCCCCTTTGGGCTGTGCATGCGCCTTGTTAGCTGCTCTGCTGGCAAGCTCTTCAGCTAGCTGGCTAGCGGGCTATCGAATGTACTTCCTCTTACTTGCTGCTTCTTGCTAAGTTCTGGCAGATGAGATTGGTAGTAGCAACTTAATTTGAAGTGTGGCATGTCACGAAGAGCCGAAATGACATTTTGCACTTTTCTTCAATCTGCTGTGTTGCCCCTCAGCCCGACGTCATCCTCCCGAGGGGTCAAGTCATTAAGAGGGCCACCATGGTGGTAGGGGATGATGAAGCCATGATCACTCTCAAGTGAGCATCCACAGCTTTAGCAGCTGCTGGCTCTTCTGTGTTGGGTTTTTACTCCCTGGGAATAAATACTGTTTGCTTTTGGGGAGCATTCCGCTGCTGTGCTTTGGATAGGGATCAAGGGACTGAAGTGTCGTATTTCAGTTTTATGTGCCTCCCTTTTTTTTCAGCCTGGAAGGTGTTCAGCTTGAACTTCCCGACGTTGTGAACACGCCTCTTTTGATTAGAAACGCAAAAATTCAGATGGAAGAAGGACACATGAGACTAGCAGTAGACAGATGGGGGAAGATCTCGTAAGACAGGCTGCTGCGAGTTTTGTTACATTGGCCATTGGCAGCGTTGATGTTGCTGCTTCGTGGGTGGCTACTGTATTTAACAGAATCTGCCGTTCAGTGCGACGCCGTTCGCGCCTGTGTTCACCATCGAGGTACTGCTTCTGTTGCTACTGCTGTGGGCTCAGTGACGCTCGGAACGATGACTTCAAAGACTTCAATTTTTCAGTTTGCACTGCTAGAGACATGAGTGAACAAGAGTATGAACTAGTGCACATGCCTGGAAGCGAGCAAGATGCCGCTGAGGGCCCCAGCGGCCGCGCCGGGAGTCCCCCATTCGCAGGCAGGGGAAGGAATGGCATGCGGGGCAGAGGCCGAGGTGGCTTTAGAGGTGGCCGAGGAAGAAGAGGCATATAAGGTGAAGACAGTTGAGAATCTGGCCCATTTTCTGTGCGGGCTGTGACCGTAGAGCTATGGGGAGCTGCTGCGCAGCTTTTTGTGGGCTGCCTGAGTGAAGGGGGCCTTGAATTGCGGCCGTTTTGGGGGTGTGTGCAAGCCGGTGCAGGTCTTCTTGTGGCCGTGTGTTTACATGAAAATTGCAAAAGGGTGCATCTACATGACGGCGCGCATTTGGGTGTGTACTGAAGGAATGTTAATTCTAGTTCTTTTCATGCATATGTACTTTTAGGGCCCCTCGGTGAGGCAGGGAGCTCATAGGGGGCCCCAGCAACGCCACTTGCTGCTGCAGAGGCGCAGTAACGCGTGGTACACGAAAAGCACCAGGGTCCCCTGCCGTTGCAGCAGTTTTCCTTGCTTCAGCTGTACCTTTTGCAGTAGCTGCAGCAAGAGAGCAGGCGCAGCGGGACCCGTGCGGTTGCTAGGTTGCAGCACAGACAGTTCGCGCAGCAGAGTGTCTGCTGTGTGAATTGCGGCTGGTTGCCGCAGTTCGGTTCGCACATGCACGTGTAGCTCCGGACTACATACGCCCGGAGCACACACAGAAAGAACGCGATAGTTCGATTTGCTGTGTGCGCCTTCGAGAGCGGCTGTAGAGGACTGCCTCGGTGCGCCTTTGCTGCTATCGAACCAGGGTAACTAAGGCCACGCGCGAACACAACGTGCGCTCATGCAATCACGAACCATCTGCATTGTAGAGGCTGATGCATATTCCAGTCTCAAACTACACGTAAACACGTTTAGTCCTTTCTTCTACAAGAACGAGTATATACAGGGAACAGAGCAGTGGCTGCCTGCAACTTGCATCAGAGGCATCTTAACAGCTGAATGATACTGCCGAGACGAAGGCCGCACTCATGCATGCAGGCCGAGAAGGTGGGAGCTATTATCCCTGTAGAAGGGAGAGCAACTCACCTTGGAATTTGGGGTGAATCGCAAGCTGTGAAGTCGGTGTTCAAGCAAAGGCGGAATGACGGCGCAGGGGGTTCTGCGATGGACACCGGGCCAGCAGCAGTGTATCAGTGACATCTACTGAGAAGGCATTTCCAAGGGTCCCATAGAAGCAGAGTCAAGCCCCCGAAACTCAAAAGTGTGTGACGCTGGTGCATTTGTCACCTCGGACGGCTCCTGCTATTTATTGTGCTGCTATTGCTGCTACTGCTGCTGCTGCTTCCCCTGCCCGTGCTGCTGTATCGCTGCTGTTGCGTACCCTTTGGTCCGTTCTGTCTTGTCAATTGCTGCTACCGTTGCTCCCTGTGGTGCCGCTGTTCTGTGTGGTGCTGCTGGCTCTACTGCTGCAGGGCCACTGTCACTTGTCTGTGGTACTGCTGGTGCATTTGGTGCAGTTTACACTGGCCAAAGGCCCCCGAATGCCAATGTATCTCTTAAGAGACATTGGTGCTGTTGCTGGTGCTAGTAATTGCCGAGGACGGAAACTGCTTGTTCTTTTATATTTTTTTGCGCTTTCACTGGTGTCGTCCTTCGGCAGTGTAGCTGTGCAGCAAATACCTACAATATCTAACTACTTTCTCCTCTTGAGGAGGCCCATTCGGCTATTTATTCATTTACTTTTGATACCTTGAGGTCCAAGGGGCCAGCAACAAGCAAATAAATAGGAGGTAAGGCCGATACACTATACGTAATACACAGCCAACATCCTAGAGCGCGAACCCTGATGCTATGCTATGCACTTCTTCCATAATGCAATTGAAAAGCAAGTACCCCCCGACCTAGCTGAATGGGAAAGTTTAGGTGTGTCTGGAAAAGGAAGACTTAGTGTGTCCTTGGGCACACTAAGTCCTCCTTTTCCAGACACACCTGTTGACTGTTTTTGGCTTATGTCCTTACCTAATATTAAATTCAAGATTTCTTACGTTTGCATGCCCCTCGGGTAGAAATGAATCAGTTACACCTTGTGAATTTGTGCAACTGCCGAACTGTTACAAATGCGTGATAAAATAAATAGGCACAAAACTGAGGATATACAGAAAAGTACAATGGAACAAAGCAGTAATATTGCAGTTGTTGCTGCTGTCGCTGCTGCTGCTCACCTGCTGTGTACCTGAAGACAACCGGGGAAAGCTGTGAGCAACGAGACTGATTCGAGCTAGCGTAAATTCAGCCGAACTTTTTGTTAATTCCTCCCGCTTTTCCTGGGCAACCAAAGAAAAGCAAAGCAGGGCCCTGCAGATATGCATAAACAGTACAACGTTATTTTTTTTTAAATTCCTCTCGCTTTACCTGGGCAACCGAAGAAAAGCAACGCAGGGACCCGCAGAGATGCATATACAGTACAACGTTACCAGTAAATGCATCAAACCATGAACACTAAAAAGTGAACCCTAAAGTAGTAATTCAACAAATGCAAAGCAATGCGATTGCTGATAGCGTA